TATATATATATATATATATATATATAAATAATACATATACACAATTAAATCTTGAAATTACTAAAAATTAAACTTTATTTTTGATAATATTGAACAAACTTCACTTTGATTAACATAACTTAAAATTTATTAACAAAGATACTTTTAACTTTATTAAATTAAAAGATATTTTATAAACAGATTGTTATGAGAATAACGCGAAAAAAATCAAATTTTTAATAAAAAAAAAGAATCTATTCGGAACTGCTATAGATTAAAATTCAATTGATTTTAGATATACTGTCGTATATTCTTAGCTCACTGCTTCTAGCAAAAAAGAATAATACACATGCACGAAGCATACACAGAAAGTACAGAGTAATAACCGTCATTGATTATAGTTAGTATACCGGGGATATTTATCCGCACTTAAATCATTTCTATTCTTACATCTCTATAATCGCTACGACGTATATAGTAAATTATATAAATTTTGAAATAATAGAATACCATACATATAGACATGTTGTTAACGCGAGAAATATCTAATAATCATTTATCGTCTCTTCCGCATTACGTTCTTAGAATCAGCACAAATAAGTGAAAACAAGAAGAAAATTAATTAAATTATAAAACGTGTACTAACTGTTGCAAAATTTATATAAAATATATTTATACATTTATATTAAAATAATTAAAGCAAATATACTTGTTAAGATATTAATACATGTACACTTATAAAAATGACGTGTTTACGTTTGTTTATTTTCATTTTAAATACGAAGTATATTCCCTAGCAAATATTCCACACGGACATCTTTGACTGCAGAAATTCTGTGTTTGCGTTTTACAATTATTACGTAAAATCTGGAGAAATCTTTCGGAATAATGTCGCGACAAGAGTGTCATTAAAAATCGTTAGAGACTAGACATTTAATTTAATAAGTTTTTTATGAAGTGAATAATTCTAGATTTCACTATTGAAGAAGTTATTTGTTATTCAATCTACTCAGTTATCCAAAATATAGATAGGTAAAAGCAAAATGTAATATAATCTTTCTTCAATTAATTCCGGTGAGCACTGAAAACTGATAAAAATATATCGTTGTCATCTCAAAACGCTAAATTAAAAGAGTAAATATTAAAATATTAAAGTTCAAATAAAACGGATTAGTGAACTAAATAGTCCGTATTTTAAAAAACATACAACGTATAATATAAGTTATGAAAAAAACAAATATATAATAAGTTGATTTTTTAAAATATTCTATCTCTTTGTGTGTTCGAAACTTAAGTAAACAAAGTGGTTTTTCTAGATTTGTATTAAAAAAAATATTTTATCTTAATTAAGCTCACTTTAAATGTTTTACAATTCAATATTTGATTTCAGATAGTAGAATTTAATTACAACTTTAAATGCACTGTCTCTTGATACATATTTGTATATTTTAATATATATTTTTTATACATAAATGCATTCTGATTCTTCAGATATTTTTTGTATTACGGTATACAAAATTATAAACGAAATTCTATTTTGAAGTCTGATACGAATAATAGATTATGTAAAATGAACTTTAAATGAAATATAAACTCTAAAATAAAATTTTCTATGTAATATGTAAAAAATACAAAATATTTGACAAACATTTTATTTCTATATTAGAAGCTCGTTGCTTTAATCATTTATTTACATCAATATAATATAGTAACTCTTTATATCTTTATATCTTTAATTTTTTTCAGAATGCGACAAAGTAACTTTATTGTATTGTATTACATAAAAGAATTTAAAACGGCAAATAATAGATGCAGAATTGTAGAATAGCTAAGCAGCACTGCATTTAATTGCAAGTTTACGTTTCTGTATTTTAATTTGTTACAATTTGTGGGATTGCAATATGTATATATTTATGTATGTTTACAGAATGCGTCCAGTTCTTTATGTTCTAAACAAACACAAACATTGATGAATCTTTAAATAAATTTAAAGAGATTGTTTTTTTTAGTAAAAGATTTTTGAATAAGATAAATGTAAACGTGTACGTGCTGTAAATTGTAATTATTAAATTGATCCAGATAACTAAATTTTATGTTACAAGAAAAAGATTTCTTTTTAGAGAATATAATTTTACAATAAAAAATATCAAACAAATTATTAATGAAAATAATTATTATAAAATGTTTCTTTAATATTTAAAATATTTTTGTTATACATAGGATAATTTTAAAATAAATCGACACAAATTTTTACGATTTTATATTCTGTAGTTATATTTTTTGAACCATTTTTCAAAAAAGTTTCCAGGAATGTTTACCTGACAAACGTCATATAGTGACGTGTGCTGTAACATTGCGGTACAAAATGTGTGAATGGTGACGTTAAGGAAGGAATAAGAATTAAACGTTTACAATCATAAAATAGTAATCATATTAGATAGTAAAATTAAAATTTTGTAATATTATAGGGTAAAAAATTATAGAAAAGTTTGAAAATGTTGCGTTATTATAATCAAAATTATTATATCGATTAACATACTTTTATTATATAATAATATATATATATATAAAATAAATAATATTATATATAAAAAAAGCAACACTATGCGCGCGTAAAAAGAGATGTCATATAGTATTTCTAAAGATGTGACATTGTTAAATTTATGTAATAATTAAACATTATTGATTAATGTTTCTCATATTAATTTTTCTCTTGCAAGAATGCAAATTCAATACTTTTTCAGATACTTTTTTAATTAAAAATTTGATATAGTTTATACAAATGGATGAGCTTACTATATTATTTCTGTTGTACATTTATTATTAAGCTATTCAAAATATCTTATATCTTATCTCTCTCTCTCTCTCTCTCTCTCTCTCTCTCTCTCT